CTCGACGTGCTCCGCCGAACGGCGTTCCATCGTATACCCCCGCGCGCAGGCCTCCACCGCGCCGTACTTTCAGGTTATCGTCTTGAGTAAGAATCAATTAAGGCCGTATCAAAAAGAAAGAGTAAAGTCGGATACAACGAAATGTCTGGGCTGTGGATGAGCGAAAATAACCTAGGCAGTGGGGCACAAGCAAAGAAAAAAAGCTCCCATTTCCGTTATTGAAGTATCGAGAAATTCTTCCGCCTTCCTGAAGTGCAAAGGCATCACGCTGGATCCTTGCGCTTTTCGTTCTTGGCAGGATAGGAGGGCACATTATACCTCGTTTCGCTCCAAAGACTGGTTTACATGCACTTTGCGCTTGTCTACGACCGACGGAGCTACAATCAGACCTTAAGACCGGCCCATATATATCGTACTCTGGACGAATTCACGCGCGTTTCGGCGGGCGTAATCAGCGCATCTGGTGTGTGCTTTTTTTCCCAGAAGGGAAGGAAGGGAAGGTCGCCAAACCACACACGGCTCTTTTCGTCGGCGTCTCCTCGGCGTTTGGTCTAGAAAAGCGCGAGTCGGGCCCACTCGCGCTTTCCACGAAACGAGGTAAAATGTAAATCGGCTGCTATAATTTTGTGTTTCGCAAGGGGACAGAAATAACTGAATATTAATCAGCAACAAAGGCATAATTTGCTAACGGTTGTCTCAGAAATGTACCTTCCAATCGCCAAATTGCTAACAAGTGCCGTCAGAAGGACGGCCGCGATTTCTGGTCAAAACCCTTCCTTTTATAAGTTTTTCATATCGGCCCCTTTGGATGATATTTTCTTCTCTTTCAATCGTTCATCGCTCGTGGAAAGAGATATAGCAATTCCGTACAGGTCGCGGATAAACCGAGGAACGCGACAAGCGAGCGCCCGTTTCGGCGGCTGAATCGAGCCAGCCAGCCGGCCGGAAGGCTAGACAAGCCAATCCTCGAGCAACTTCCGCCTGTTAACTCGCGAGCTGATTGGCCGGCAGCGCGCCGTACGCTTCCGGATACGCCATGCCGAAATACGCGGGAGCGCCGAGATCTGTCTCGGTCGCCATACGTAATCCCGCCATACGTCGGGATTACGTCCGCCAAAACGCCTGTAACTACGTCGAAAATACGCCTTATGTGGTTGGGCCTTTAAGCCTCTTGTGACTGGTTACGTCCGGCTGCGCTGCTGGGCAGTCAAGGTTTAGGAGGCAAGCAGATACACACACACGCACGCACACAGACACGAGAACATGAGGTGAGTGCGCATAATTAGCGTTTGGTCAAATTAGCCGGTGACAATAGATACCTTTTCTATAAGTAAGTCGCGTCCACTTATACAAAGATATACGCAGCAGCCAGTGGCTGCTGCGTCTATTTTCAGGAGCCGCCATATTGTGAGCGTACACTTTGAACATGCATTGGACACGAATGCTGCGGAGGGGTTCGGCGCGTACTCAGCTTCACATGTATTCGACACGAACGCTACGTCAGCACTTGGCGAGGACTCGAATCCATTTGAGAGCAATGCCCAAAATATGGAGACCCGCCTGTGTTGCTTGATGATCTTTTGAAATACGACCTTTATACCCGCTGAGAGACGAATCGCGCTATTTACGCCCTACGTTGTCGCCTCTTGACGCCGTGTGCGTTCCGACTTGCGGTGAAATGACGTGATTCTGTAACGTATCGGACCTTGTTGGACGCGTAACGTTAAGCGAAACTATATTATTTTTATTTTTTTTTTAAATTCTAGAGAAGTTGTGTGGCTACAAACATCAAAAACGGGCAAAATCTATGGAGATGGGTTTTCGGTAAGCAAGGACACATTATTTCCAGTTCTCGTTCATTTTAAGTTGTCTCGCGACTGGACTTTTCTCAATGTTTAGCTCATCATTCAAGTTTGTTGGGGTGATTCGTTGTTATAATAATGTAACGCGGGCGGAAACATGGACGATTTTATTAAATCAAGCTCTGACGGGCTAAATTGCTCGTCTCATAATATATGCCAGGAGCTTTATACTTGTCCTGAACTTTGAGTGGCATAAACGTGTCTGAAATCAAACGCATATATAGCAAAAATTACACGCGGGAGCTTTAAAACCTTTTTTTGTTTTGCTTTACTAAAGGAATGCGCTGTTAATTTAATCGTAAGAAGTGAGGGAGTGCAGGCGAGCTGGTTCAGAAACGACACACTTATAAACCATGAGATGGGTTTAGGCGATTAAAAACAGAGCAAACGAGACGAAGGACAAGAAGAGCTAGACGTAGACAGACAGAGCGCTGACTCTCAAATGAATTATTAAATCGCCGTGAATCAATAGGACGCAATCATTATCATCTTGTCATGCACTAAGTGTATTAGACACGTGCCCCCAGGAGCACCAGTTCTTTATCAAACAGAGCGTTTGAGGGCGCACTTACACACACATCATTTCCACATCGAGATATGTTATACACTAATCATGTCGTTTACCATCTAAAACTGTGGCGCCGAAAAGGAAAAAAAAAAAACACTTTTAGTCGAAGGTATTGATACAGAAGGGAACGTCTCTTGCCTTCTAAAACTTTTTTTCCCCTTTGTTGCACCATACCCTCAAGTATTAAATGACATGACTAGCTCCCAGCAACTCGCCTGAGCATTGCAAACCTTTTCACATATTGTGCGCCTCTCCGATTCCCCCCACTTTCACCTCCCCCAGTCTTACTGCCACATCTATTACGATGAGATTGCCTGAGGGCGAAGACCTCATCGAGAGCGCGTGTTCTCTTAGCCCATCATTTATTCGATGGCCTGTCTGGCCGATTCACACTCTATTACATCCAAGGGGTATCTGATTAACGACACCCTCCCTATACTATAACTGTTCTCTGTGTTTGGGTGTTCCTGTGTGATGAGTATGCCAATATAATGTTGTTGTGCCCCACAATATTTCACAATAGCTTCGATGTTGACAAAATAGCAAACTATAAATAGGCCACAGAAAATACAATAATTAAACGACGATATATCTCGTTTAAATTTCAGTGATTACCTTATCTGGCGCACTAACGTTGGTGATTGCGCTTCGTATAAACCCCGGGATCCTTGGCTCAATCCCTACCCCTGCCCGTTTCGATCTGAATGAGCACCATACCGGCATGCGGTCGTGTATCACTATTGCGTGACGCACGTTCAAGTCCCCAGGCTGGCGGTTTTACTGCACTGGCTAATTTCCTCATCTACATCTGGGAGACACGTCGCCCGTTGAGGAAAAATGACTTCTATAGGCTGTATAAACATACACTCACCCCAATTTTTTTGCGCTTCGTATACCCTCCAGTTTACTGTAACAAAAAGTTATCGTGGTCTATACAGACATTCAACAGGTGTCGTACTGTACATGGTGCTGCATCGTGATAAACAGTTCGCGACACAGGGCGAACAGGACATCGGCGCTTTTTTTCACCATTATACGACAAAGTAAGGACGAGCGAAAAATCTGTATCTGTGTTGTGAAGAACACGGCCGCGAGGGGCTGGACATGGGCCCACGGGGGCCTAGGGAGAAGACGAGGATAGCACGGGGCAGGGCCCAGGCGGCAAGCTGGTTGATGGTCGGCTACCGGAACGGTGAAATGACAAGGCGCTGCCTCCAGATCATCCAGTTGTGAGGCAGTAAATCCTTCGCAACTTGCGTTCTGACATCTCCTTCTGGGCGGTCGAGGCGGGGCCAGATCGGGCGTCGCCTAAAGGGGACGCCCACAGTATTCGTCTTCTTATCCGTAGATTTGTATACGCTTATATATTTCATTTTATTGTATTGTTTGGGTGAAAGCCCTAATAGACACTCTCGACAACACCAGTAGTATAGACGACACCAATTTATTTCGAGAAAATAAAAAAGACCGCATTTCCACGTGGTGAATGATGTTGATTGGGGTAAAGCTCTGGTGGTGCTGTTGATACTGATTTTGTTCATAGGTAGTGCTGATGGTGCTTCCGGGCTCTCAACTCCGGGTTATATGGCGTTTTTGACGCTTTGCAGCAGCTTCTCGCGCCCTGGGGCCCTAACCTGGGGCCCTAAACTCGTCAAACACAAAGTTAGAACCGAAAGTTCGCGGAGCGCGCCGATTGGACGTCGGTGAAAAAAAACGCGAAGTCATTGTCGGGTTAGGCCAATCGGTGCGCTCCGTCAACTTCGGCCCCAACTTTGTGTTTGACGAGTTTAGAGGCCCTGGACACTTGGCGAGAAAGACGGCGAGAAATCTGACGGCTACGATTGGCCGGCGCCAAGGTCGAGTGCGGCGTCGGCCAATCACAGCCGCCAGATTTTTCACCGACTTTTTCGCCAAGTGGCCAGATTAGGGCCCTTGGTCTCCGGAGCAGCTTCCTGTCTGCGTAAACGCTGAGCCGCAGCATGCCGAGCTTTTTGTTCGTTTTCATCCATGTCAGAAAGAGAATGTGTGGTATGGAACGTGGTTATATACGCATTTGAGCATTTGACCGCAGCGCCCTCTCGTCTATAAACGTTGAGCCAATGCATGCAAACTTTAACGCGATTATATACGCATTTGACCGCAGCGCCCTGTTTTGTATAGACGTTGAGCGGCTACATGCAACGTTTCGTCTATGACAGAAACCCCAGCTCTTGAGTTACTACCACATCTCAGAGCCCCTACTCGTCCCGCAGTCGTGGCCGAGTGGTTAAGGCGATGGACTAGAAATCCATTGGGGTCTTCCCGCACAAATTTGAATCCTGTCGACTGCGCAAAATTTTTTTTAATTTTCTTTTTTTTTAAGAAGACAGATGGGGATGGCAATTGATGTGAGCACAGACGCCGGAAAAGGCTAAACCCTAAGGAGCTTCGCCCCTAAAAAAAAACAGCGATTGCTTGTTTTTACTTGCGTTGTGTACGTTTCATTCGGATTCAAGGTAAGGAAAAGTTGAGTCGCGCTTTATTTTTTTTTTTTTTTAATGTTTAACTGATTACTTTTTTCATTTTTTTTTTTAATTCGGTAAGACGACCAGAACCCGAACAGGGGCACCGCTGGCACCATCTATCTTCATGGGCTGGATTATGGCCCTGGCTCCTGTGGCCGGAATTTTTTCCAGACCGCTCAGGTTTTCCACGATGTAGAGCTGAGCGCGGAGGAGGATGTTGTGGCTGACCGGGCCGCCCACGTCCGCAGACACCGAGTCCATGGCGATACCGTACGCCCGGCCTCCCTGGACCAGATACGTGGCCGCGTCGGGGCCGATGGCTGGGTAATGGAAGACGCCGTTGGCGTCCTGGTTTCTGTAGGCGGTTCGGTTGAAATATTTCTGCAAGAAAAAAAGGCTTTCTCTCCACATTTAAATAACTAAGTTTCCGATCGATCGATAGCGCAACATTATAGCCCTTTATCTGGTCGATCGCGTCACAGCCATTGCCGTGCCGCGAAGCCTTCACTTAAAGGCCGACGACCAGACTCGAGATTCTGCAAGGCAGAAGATCCTCCTCACCATGGGGAGGAGGGAACAGGCAACGGTGGACAGGGTAGAAGGGGGAGAGGGGGAAGCAGGGGAAAAGCGGAAAGCGTGAACTGGTCGTCGGCCTTTAAAGAGTATTTTACACCTTGCCCCGGAATTAGCGCCCGCTGCGTTCCTCATAAAGCAACATATGACAGTTTATCGATGGCTGGAAATGCAACTGCAATTTGTTTTCTCGCCCTTCGGCGCTGTGGACATCGGGCACTGCGAGCCAGGATACCGGCCCACGAAGAATAGCATTGCGGTAGTATCGATCAGCTCTCTGTTTATAAACAGGCCCGCATTTGCCCACGCCGGGTGTGGGCACTGTGCGCCTGCGCAGAGACCAGATTCGCCCGAGGTGAACCACCTGCGCATGCGCAGGTGCCGACAACAGCGCCACCGAAGTGGCGCGATGTCAGAGAGTTGAGTTGGTCCATGGACCGTTTCAGATTAAGTCCGAGAGCATCCAGGGCTACGACGCTTTGTATAACAATTCAGGCAGTGCCAAAATTGCATGGTCACGGCGCTCGTTGCCTTTGTAGGTTTGCCATCGTCGGCTAAACCAATCACGAAAGGGAAAAAGCGCAGGACCACGTGACCTTCAGTGAGCGCGATTGGTTGAGCCGGTGATTGCAGACCCGCAAAGGCGACACGTGATTTTTCTACCCCCAGCACAATCGCAGTGTCAACCTCTTGGTGCCCCCCCTCCCCCCTCCCCCCCCCCCCCCCCGCCCCACCATTTTTTTTGTTGTCAGCAATAAGAAAAGATGCATTTGGCGCTGACTTCATTGAATCGTACCTTTAGTTGTGGTCGGACCTAAAGGGGCCATGCAATGAAACTTGGGACAAAGTTGGATCTGTGTTTCTTTGCGCAACTGACGGTGCTGATTGAGGAGGTGCTTACTTTTTTGCAGAGGCTGTGAAGTTTGTGTGGTGCTGAAAACACTACATTCACGTTTACTCTGTTCGCTATTTTCTTTAGACCAGGAGATAGATTATGCATATATGGCACGAGTACCTGTCTGGTTGTCCTGTCTCTGGGTATTTTTGCGGCGCTACCGAGCTTGATTTCTCTGAGGAGAACCTCGGTTACCGACGTCAATATTTGTAGAGGATATCCAGCGGACCTTAGCCTTGATACTTGAGCGTCGAAGCTCGCCTGCATTGAATGTAAGCATGACTTGCTAATAGAGTTCTTAAGACATGACCTCACTATACCTCTTTTTACAAGTTTGGAATGTGCAGATTTGAATGGTAGAAGAGGTTTCTTTCCCATGGGCTCATAGGACCAACAGATGTGATATGGTAGCACATACAGTCGAAGATCCAGGAATCGTAATGATCTTTCGACCGGCAGTTCGTAGGTGAGCTCCAGAGGATTCATGCAGTTCTTGAAATCGTAGAGGACCTCTTCCATCATGGCTGTGAAGTTTGTATCATCTGTAGCAAGGAAGATTAAAAAATCATCTACATATCTACATACTTTCACTGCTTTTGATGTATCCAATATTCGTTGTAGACTCCTGTCTTGATGTGCAAGGAAGATGTCACTAAGGACTGGAGCAATGCTGGATCCTATGCATACTCCCGTCTTTTGTAGGTAGGCATTTCCATCCCAAGCCGCGAAGGTGGACTTCAAATAGATCTTCAGTAAGTCCAGAAACTGACTTTGGGACAGACCCGCCGCGTTCATAAAGGGTATGACGCCAAAGGCGTCAATGCTTTCTTCCACACATTTTAGGAGACGTTCTTGGGGTAAGGAATGATATAGGTCCTTGATATCGATGGAAAATATCTTCAGCTCTTCCTGACGATGTTCTTCTAGAAGGCTGAAGACCTCGTAGGAGCTTCGAACCGGGTAGGGATCGTCAATCTTTAGCAAATTTAGCCTCTCCTGAAGGAATATTGCCACCGATTTTTGCCAAGTTCCTCTTTCTGAGACAATGACTCTAAGGGGACATCCTGGTTTGTGGGTTTTGGCGCTGAAGAATAATTTAAGGTTTTGATTTCTGCTGCGATCAATAGAAGAGCAGAGCTTTTTCAATTTGAGTGACTGACAAAATTGTCTTGCCTCTCTTTTTATCTTGTTCAATGCGACCTCTTTGTGGCAGTTGAAGACTGAGGCGATGGCTTCTAATGCCTTAGCACCGTACGTTTCTTTGTTCATGACCACAAAACCACCTTCTTTATCGGCTGGCATAAGAAAGAGCGAGTTTTTCTTTAAATAAGTCTCTACTTTTTTGATGGAAAGAGGTGAGAATGACGGTTTGTATCGAACAAGTAAGTCCACTCCTTCTAAGTGCATCTATTGACCTCAGACTCCGGAGGGCGTCTCGACACTTGTCTGACGATAGAAAGCTTCTCCGATGCTGACAGCTTAGGTTCTACTGCAAACTTTGGTCCAAGATTGAGGACATCCCTCACATCTTCTGGCAGATGGATGTTGCTGCCGATCGTGTGGACTGGGTTGCTCGAAGCACACTCTTTCTTTGGTGTACTTGCTCTGAGGTTCCTTCAGGTGAGCCGCCACAAACATTCTGTCGTTCTTTCACTTAAGGAGGCGTAATCTCTCCATTTTCTTTTGCCTAAGTAAGGAGGAACGTTTACATTCAACTGTATGTAGAGGCTGTTTCTGTAGTGTCGTGCCTGTCGATGCCATTCAGACTGGAGAATCTTGCAAATCCTCTTACCGTGGCCGACTGATGGCGCGAACCCTCCAAAAAGGGACCAGATTTCCGGTGGCAACATCTGTAGTCAAACGCAGTACCCGAAGGAGCGTGCTTGGCAGATGGATATGGCGATCATAGTGACCAGCTCTCCTGGGGTCAACGTAAGGTGCTTAAAAGGGCCCGATGTATTAGAAATAAAACCTGTTAATACTGCAGATTGGGCGAGTTGGTAAGGCATCATCACGAACCAGCACAAGTAGACAGTTATTCAAAATCCAAACACACAAAAAAATACACTCACACAGCGCTGAACTATCAACTGAATTGTATTTCAAACTTCCTCTTCTTCGACCCCAAGGAATAGGTTGCCAAGGAAGAAAAGGGGAAAGACAAGGCAAATGGGGGAAGGCAAAATAAAAATAAAAGGAAAACAGATGAATAGAAGACAAATCAAAACCTTGAATTATTCTTCAGCGCCAAAACCTACAAACCAGGATGTCCCCTTAGAGTCATTGTCTCAGAAAGAGGAACTTGGCAAAAATCGGTGGCAATATTCCTTCAGGAGAGGCTAAATCTGCTAAAAATTGACGATCCCTACCTGGTTCGAAGCTCCTACGAGGTCTTCAGCTTTCTAGAAGAACATCGTCAGGAAGAGCTGAAGATATTTTCCATCGATATCAAGGACCTATATTATTCCTTACCCCAAGAACGTCTCCTAAAATGTGTGGAAGAAAGCATTCACGCCTTTGGCGTCATACCCTTTATGAACGCGGCGGGTCGGTCCCAAAGTCAGTTTCTAAACTTACTGAAGATCTATTTGAAGTCCACCTTCGCGGCTTGGGATGGAAATGCCTACCTACAAAAGACAGGAGTATGCATAGGATCCAGCATTGCTCCAGTCCTTAGTGACATCTTCCTTGCACATCAAGACAGGAGTCTACAACGAATATTGGATACATCAAAAGCAGTGAAAGTATGTAGATATGTAGATGATTTTTTAATCTTCCTTGCTACAGATGATACAAACTTTACAGCCATGGTGGAAGAGGTCCTCTACAATTTCAAGAACTGCATGAATCCTCTCGAGCTCACCTACGAACTGCCGGTCGAAAGATCATTACGATTCCTGGATCTTCGACTGTATGTGCTACCATATCACATCTGTTGATCCTATGAGCCCAGGGGAAAGAAACCTCTTCTACCATTCAAATCTGCACATTCCAAACTTGTAAAAAGAGGTATAGTGAGGTCATGTCTTAAGAACTCTATTAGCAAGTCATGCTCACATTCAATGCAGGCGAGCTTCGACGCTCAAGTATCAAGGCTAAGGTCCGCTGGATATCCTCTACAAATATTGACGTCGGTAACCGAGGTTCTCCTCAGAGAAATCAAGCTCGGTAGCGCCGCAAAAATACCCAGAGACAGAACAACCAGACCGGTAGTCGTGCCCTATATGCATAATCTATATCATGGTCTAAAGAAAATAGCGAACAGAGTAAATGAAACTTGGGCTGAACCAAGGGATCCTGAGCTCAATCCCTACCCCTGCCCTTTTCGATTTGGATGAGCATCGTACCGACGTGCGGTCGTGTATCACTACTGCGTGGTGCACATTAAAGATCGCTGCCTAGCGGTTTTACCGTACTGTCTAACTGTCGCCCGTTGTGACAGACTAACGTCCGACATGTATAAACCTACACCCAAAAGATAATTTAATTTAATCTTGTGCAGCAATAAATTATTTTGTATTGGGATTTTAGTAGCCGCGTATCGTATAATGGGACAAAATAAAAAGGATAGAACAAAGTCGAAAGCCTGCTTTTCGGTGCGAGAGTTCGGAAATATCGCGGACTATTTCGTGCCTCCTTTCCTACGAAAGCTCTCCGCCTTTTTGCTGTGATAGACCCGCGATACTCAAAAACACGTCAGTCGACCCCAACTCACGTATTGGAGACTCGAGCACTGCGCCACGAGCACTGCGATCGCCCGTCAACAATCAATCTGTCGACGAATAATTGGATTGACGTTCGTGGCCAATGAGGTCCGCCACGCCACCGCTCATAGGCCACTGATAAGTGGGGACAATTGTGCTTCGACGTCCCATATTATCACTTGCGAATGACAAGTTTTATGGTGTGCTTAGGAAGCACGGTGAGAGCTTGGGCTCGTCGCACCGGTGCCCATACACGTCACGCGTCCACGTGATTTCTCATTTCGCTTTTGAGTTGACGATTAAAGCTAAGGTGGAAGTTGAAAGTATAGATCCCTAGATCCAGGCTTGCGAGCCACAGGTCTCATTCCCACTCTCCCTCAGAAAAAAGGCCAATAAACGCTTCCTGAATCTGAATGTGACCGTTTAAAAGATTACACCCTCTTATGGTCGATTTGAAAATACTGCACAGTGGCGTTCGCAAAAAACAATAACAAGCTGGTAAGTCTTTGGACTTTTTCCCACAAGGGCGCAGGCCCATTGAATGTGGTCACGTTTGGAATGAATTCTAGGAGTGAATGAATGAGCACTCACTGAGTGAGCGCGCAGCTCATTCAGTGGGTCTGAGTCGACCTAAGTGATCGTTAGGCTCGCCTTGTACCACCCGGTGCGAAGGAAAACGATGCAACCGGCGGGAAGCCTTCCGTGCTGTCTCTCCCAGTCTCGCAGGTCGCCGGCGGACAGCTGGTATGTGTCGTTGGAGGCCACCTTCTTTTGGATGTCCACTAGCGCCACTGGCGGGAAGACCAGTCGCTCGAGCGGGACCTCGGAGACCGACCAGCCGTCCTTGTAGAAGTGGAGCGGCGCGTCGAAGTGCGTGCCCCCGTGGGTAGCCGTGGTTATCACCTCCTCTTGGTGCCTGGAAGATGGCGGTCGACACGAACAATGACCCCAATATCGCGATCCTTAATTTTGTTTGTTTTTAATACGCGTAGAACTAAGGACAAGGGACAAAAAAAAAATTAAAGACGCTTACGAATCTCTCTAACGCGAAATTAGAGCGCAGCTCTTGAGGAGGAGGACAGGAGAGTACGCAGGGGACGGTATGCCAAAATACTGCCCCTGCTCCTCCTCCTCTTCTCCTCTACTCCTCGTCCTCCCCTCCTTTGCTCGTTCTCCTCCCCCTCCTCCTTCTTTCCTGCTCCTCTTTATATCCCCTCCCCCTCCCCTTCCATCCTTTCCCTCCCCTCGTCCTCCCTCTTTCCTGCTCCTCCTGCTCTCCCCTCCCTCTATTCTTCTCCTCATCCTTCTCCTTTCTTCCTCCTCTCCTCTCCTTCTCCTTTCTTCCTCATCCTTTCCTCATCCTCCGTACTTTCCCCTCCTCCGCGACGTCAATTTTCCCGCTAGATTTAGCGGAGAAACTGGATTTGTTTATGGGTGACTTGACACCGAATCATGTGACATCATTTTCGCCGCTAAATTTAGCGGGAAACTGAATTGGTGTTGAGATCCTGTGACGTCAATTTTCCCGCTAAATTCAGTGCGGTTATGCCGACGCCGACGGCGACGCCGCACGACCCGGAAACGGGCGCCCAAGAGCAGAGTTCTAAAACGAGTGAGGGTTATCGCCTGCTGCTCCCATACCAATCTTCTGCCGTGTCGCCGTACAGTGTGACGTTCATGATGAAGTGCGCCTTGTTGTTGAAGTAGACGGTCTGGTTGTTCAGGCTCCATGACACATCTATTACCTGGCGACGTTCGAGAGGCTCTCCGGGGCCAAAGTCACCGAAGAAGAACGCAGAAGCCAGGCTGGTGCTCGCCGCGAGGACCAAGACGACGCTGCAGGCCTTCGTCATCTTGCGGAGACGAAACAGAATACGACACATGTGAATACTAGCTGCCCCGTTCACTCCCGAGACGGATGTTTACACTGCCTGAGTTCCAAAAAATGTTCGACGTGTTTCCTTGATTTCTTTTCTTGTAATACACTGACGCTGTGGATTTTAGGCGGCTAATAGACACAGTTTCTTGTCGTCCATTGTAATCAAATGTGAATGTTGATGTTGACACCGTCCTCAGATGATCATTTTTCTGCTTTGCATACATCCGGCGGTCTCGGTAGGGTCGTGGACGATCCGTTTGCTCGGTAGACTTAATCAATGTGAAATAGTGTAAATAAATATGTAGAATCTAATCGTGGTCGCTACGACGTCAAACGACCACTGAGCAAAAAAAGAAAACCAACTGTTAAAAAGTGCAGAGACAAAAGGGGCTTTCATGTCAGCGTCGACTGGGACCATGAACAGTGAAATTTCGACATGTGCGCTGGTATTCGAAAATGTAAAGATAAGTATATATATATATATATATATAAAAAAAGAAACTCGCGAACTTGAAAACATTTAAAGGTGAAAATTTTGCATTCGGAGCAGGCAGGAAAAACGAGCGAACGAGCATAACCGCCGAATACACCAGCTTGCAGATGAATCCTGGGAGAACGGGTTCCTTCGCTCCGAAATACTGGGTGTCTCAAATAGCGGCCAGGCTCTTTAAATCGACCGAAAAATTCGGCTTCTCAACCTATCGCGCTACGATTTCGTGCAGCGTAGCCCACAAGTGGTGCATTTCTTCTATAAAATTTGCAAAGAGTGAACTTACCTGAGAAAAAAAGAAAAAAAGAAAAAAGCTTAACTCCTATGGAAACCCAGCAAAACCACCGCTCTTTAATCAATAGCGCACCCTATTGTTTTAAGACCGGTGACTTCGCTGCGTTTCCATAGGAGTTAAGCCTTTTTCTTTTGTCTTTAAGCATCCCGGACAATATCTTGTGTTTTGTCTGAGCTCTGACGTAAATGCTCCACATTAACAACTGCCAAATATCTGACAAACAATTATGAATGGCTTCTATTCAAGCCACGAACATCAGGCTCTATTTTCCACTTCGTGTGTCATAGAGTCTCTTGTTAAAGCTACGAGCGATGTTTAAGAACGTTCAGGTAGTAAACTGGACTGGGGGATCTTCTGATGGGAAGGGGGCAGTACGTGATGTTTAACCAGACTGTATTTCGCATTGCAAATGTAGAATTCGGGGTACCACAGAGACCAGTCTTGGGCCGCTGCTTTTCTTGTTATATATTAACGATCTAGCCACTAAAAGTAATGTGAATTTAGGGTTGCATGCCGACGATATAATTTTATACCATGAAACCAAAAGTACAGATGATCTTCTTCTCATCCTAAATAATAGCCTCCAGGAGGTATCAAAGTGCTGCAAAAATTGAAAAATGGCACTCAACAAAAAGAAAACTGTATTTATGTTTATCACCCAAACGAAAGAACCTCCACTTTATACATACCACTTCGGCAAACAAACACTGGTTCGGGTTTACGAATACACTTATCTAGGCCTACGCATAACCCACAATTCAAAATTGGACAAACATATTACTGCTGTTATAGATAAAACTTCTAAAAAACTATGGGTCTTAAGACGCAAATTCCGACACGCAGCTTCTGATACTAAATTACTAGCATACAAAACTTTTGTACTCCCCATCCTAAAATACGCAAGTGTAATTTGGGATTAGTACACCAAAACAAACATCAGTAGGCTAGAAATGGTACAAAGAAAAGCGGTTGGATTTATTTTCGGGCAATATAGACCTTTGTCCGGAAGTGCTCTTTTTAGCCTCGACCGCAAGGAGCAAAAGCGAACAACAATCTCGAACCCAGACGCTCACGGGGAGGGGGGGCTGCGTCGGCCTGCGCCGCTGCTTCCCGCCGCGGGCTTCCTTACTGGTGTGCCGACTGCCGTTTCGCCGGCATCGGTCCTGTTTACCGCGGTATGTGAGTATAGTGCCCGTAATGTGAAAGCCGTTTGTCCATAAGCCACTTTGCCGCTGTTGGTTTTAATCTAGCCGAGCCAGAAAACATCTCGCGACGAGTTGACCGCGCCGCGAGTGACGAAGAAAATGCAAACATGGCGACGGTTTGTGCGATTGCTTTGGTGGCTCCGGTGTTGCGTGTCTTCAACGTCCTCGTGAGAAGATTCCCCTGCCCTTCGAAGTTATTGCAAGCACCACGAGTGGCACGAAAGATGTGGAATCATCGTCTCAACTACAAATAAGCAGGCCTTCACGAGCAACGACGATGCCGAGTAAGCGCTCGGCACAGTTGTGTCGTCAGATGTTCTAGAACGCCGAGGTATTTTCATTCATCATTTGGAATGGCTTCAAGAGTGGGAAATTAATCTATTTCGCGGATTGTTAACGCCGAGGCGAGTGCCCTCCGTTGCAGTGCCGTTCTCGCGCAAAGCGCAGAGAAAACCAGGTGGCGATGGCGGTGGTGCTCTTTGTTCGCTTTGATCTTGCGCCGTCGGGTTCATGGAGTCCGGAGTAAACGTACGTACTTGCGTCTGCTGGATCGGCGTTTTGGACTGCCCCAAAACTCTTTCTCACGCGCATTTTCCTTGTGAAGCTTAGTAGCTCATTACACCTCGTCGTCGACTGCGCTCATTTGACTACGACGGACGAGCCTGCGTGATGTGAATTTCAGTGCCTAAGTTCTTTGGTGTGCTGTAACGAGGGCTAATAAAATGTCACCGCGAACTTCTGAACAAACGAGTCGAAGTTTCGTCTGTTATCATAACTGATCGCCTGTCACAATATTAATCAGTAGCGTTACTAGACTCTGCCCCCACAGGCACCCTGCTTCGTTGCCCGATAGTATGTGTCTCCTGGTACCTTGTAGAATTCCAGCTTCCACTTCAAGTAAGTACCATCCTTTAGAACTGGCAATTAATAGTTTCGAACCCAGACGCTCGCAGCGTGTGTGTGTGTGTGGGGGGGGGGGGGGGGGGGGGGACGCGTGCTAACATACTCGGAGCCCTCGTTTACGCCACTTCGCGGCGGCAGACAAGGCGGCACATTACAAAAGAAAGCTAATCCGAGCTGTTTTGTAACTAGACCCATTCGCTAGTCATTCGATGAAACGTCGTGGTCTCGTTTTCATTCGCTAAAACGTCGTTCGGTCAAGTGAACGCCTTCCACTTATTTCGGCTTGGCAGAGTCGCGCTGCCGCAGAAAGGCAAGCAGATAGCGAAAATCGGTCTCAAACGTGCCACGAATGTAATGTATACAAGAAGCCAACAATCAAGCATTTGAAAGCTACAAGAAAGCGGTAGCGAAATATTTACTACGCAATGAACCCGGACTGAAACGCGGATTTCAAGGGTCAGCAGACACCGAGAACATCTAAGACAAGAAGGTTTTCCCCTGTTTTCTTCATCGAGATTGGTTCTCGAATGTTCACGACATCTTATCTGTTGAAGAACGGGCCACGGAGGCTTCTGGTGAAGACATCTTTCAGGATGTGTCGGTGCATTCGGACAGCCTGCCGCATCCAGCTCCCCAAAGCAACGCTGGCAACGCCGCCAACGCAGCCCCCCCCCCCCCCCCCCCCCCCCCCCTTCTGCCTGCCAGTTCTTTCCACGTGGTGGCGCGAGCGTAGATAAACATGGCGGTGCCCTGGAATTGGCGCGGAGACTGGTCTATATTAGGTTAGCTTCAGTTACTGACTTGCTTGAAAAAGCACACCTACCAACCCTTCATACCAAGGATACGCTTAACAGACTGAAATTATGTACAATATAATTCACGGCATGATCAACATCAATCGGGAGAAGTACACTCTCCGGCGATATGAAAGACCCACTCGGAGCGCGTGGCAGAGGCGGTGGCTGCTCGCGCTTTGGGCAATTCCATGTCGCTCGGAGGGGAGGCCTCACTCGGTGCTCAGCCCCGCCAGCTGGCGAGCCGCGTCGAGACGTGCTTAATTTTGATTTCGGTTTGGCGGGAGAGCGCGCTTTCTACAGGGCATCAGTATAACTGTAATCTTTGCTTTTTCGCACTGCTTGATTTGATAATTTGCACAAAAAAAATTTATAAAAGCGCCCGTGATAACGAGACTTCATTCGAGCCTCCATTACAATACTCCCAGGCGTGCCGCGTAAGAAGCGCTGTCCCGCCAAACCGAAATCAAAATCTGTTAAACACGTCTCGGCGCGGCTGGCGCAGCTGAGCACCGAGTGAGGCCTCCCCTCCGAGCGACATGGAATTGCCCAAAGCGGGCGCAGCGCCCCCCTCAGCCACCTCCCCTGCCACGCGCTTCGAGTGGGTCTTTCATATTGCCGGAGAGTCTACATATAATTATCTGATTGCTTCAATACACGTAGCCAACAACGGTATTATATTGTAGAACCATTGCCACGTAATAATGTGTTCCAGTATTCATTTTTTCCTCACACCTTCAAAGATTGCAATAACCTAAACACTGAAATAGTAAACTCGAATTCTGTAACGTAATTCTTTAACTATGTAAGAAAACTCTTGAACATTGAGTAAATACTAAATTTGATTCTCTTGCATCTTTTTGTTTGTATTTGGTTTTCCCCCACGTGTTTCAATACATTTGTGACATGTTTTCTTACTGTAATTTATATTGTTTTCCATTTTGAATTTGTATTTGATTGTATATTATTATTTATGTACCATTCCTAAAAACGGTCCTGAACAAGGACCAGTTGTATAAATAAATATATACAGAAAAAATGTTTGCGAAGCTCTGATGACTTCGAGATCACGAACGACTCCACACTGACTATCGAAAACCATCGACTCATTGTACGGCTTCACAGTTTACGCCCAATGAAGTCGCAACCCTTGACAGTCAACCACAAAACATTTATTTCAAAAAAAGATTAGTATTCTAACACTTTTCGTGTTTGCACCCAGAATAATAACTGTAATTTTCGGAAAACACGATAGAAGTTTCCTTGCCGAGAACAACGTACTAAGGT